TCCCTTTGCCTCCAGGAGAAAACGCTACTGAGTTCAAGGGATAATTCTCACCCACCTCTTGCTCTTGTCCTGCACTTGTATGTGCCAGTTGAGCTGGTTCTTCCACCAACTCAAGTCTGTACGTCATCATGAACGCAGGAGGCTGGCTCAATCTGAATTCGCACCCTCAACATTCTCTTCATCATCTTGCACTTGTTCTAAGCTGCTGCTGATAGTGCTTGTAGCAGCGCTGCTGCCAAAAAGGTCTGTCAATTTGCGACATTTATATGCTTCACCTGCGAGTGACTTCACCTTTTTTTCTCTTGCCTTCTCGGCCCCACCTTTTTCTTTTCGTTTTCTTTGATTTTTCTCCATGTTTTTTCATTCTCCCTGTCTGCCGCGGCGTCTAATCCCTTCTCTTTCGTTTGGCCGGTCTTTTTTCTTCTTCGTGTGTGATTATTTGACAGATAAGAACCACACAACTGCATTAGCGTCCGCTGTCGCCCTCGGTCGGCCGTCAGCGCAACTTAAATGATGACGTTAAACAAAAAATGTTTAACGGGCCAGCCGGCCGTCAACGGCCCTTGACGACCGGCCATTCTGTGGTTCTCCAGATTCTACAGATGGCCAGTCCGCCCATGTTCTTGAGCCATACACTGTATTGAGATCTTATCCATTGTATCTTTGTCTTGTGATTTTTGACTGAAAGCAAAAGGCTTGAGCTACTTTGGTTGAACTATGTAGCTCCGTCCCTGCTTTTGACAAATAGGTGGGCGATTTGACATGCCAGATTGACTGAAAATTCTAAATATTGGTCATGTTGGTAGGATTGGGTAAGCGTGGTGCTACTTGTTGGTACGTGGGTTGGGGGGGGCATGAGTGCCCAGGGGCCCCTGGAGGTACTAATCCGGCCTTGAACTTACCCCCTTCTCCCCTACTGCAGCTGACGCAGGACTTCACCCTCTGGTGCCAGAGGAACCTCCTTCAGCTGAACGCAGCGAAGACCAAGGAGCTGGTGGTGGATTTCAGACGGCGCCAACACTCCCCCCCGACACCAGTGAACATCCAGGGAGCAGACATTGAGATTGTGAAATCTTACAAATACCTGGGTGTTCATCTGAACAATAAACTGGACCGGACTGATAATTCTGCTGCTCTGTACAAGAAGGGACATAGCAGACTCTTTCTGCTGAGGAGACTGAGGTCTTTCGGGGTGCAGGGGGCACTCCTTCAGACCTTCTTTGACTCTGTTGTGGCATCAGCCATTTTCTATGGTGTGGCCTGCTGGGGCAGTAGCATCTCGGCTGCTGACAGGAAGAGACTGAACAGAATGGTAAGGAAGGCCAGCTCTGTCCTGGGGAGTCATCTGGACACTGTGGAGGTGGTGGGAGACAGAAGTCCTCACTGTGGAGGAGGTGGGAGACAGGAGTCCTCACTGTGGAGGTGGTGGGAGAGAGGAGAATGACAGCCAAGCTGTCCTCTCTGCTGGACAATGTGTCTTCCCCCCCCCCTCCAGGACACCCTGTCCTCACTGTGCAGCTCCTTCAGTGACACAGGCTGCTGCACCCCACCTGTCTCACGGAGAGACTTTACAACCAGCAAAGCCCCTAGTAGACCCTCCTACACACACCACAACACAGACTATAACACCTCTTGCTGTTAAATAGCAACCAACTATGTGCAATATATGTATATGCTGTTAATAACTGTGTAATATACACCTGGCTGCTAAATCCTAAGAACTGTTACAGGATGTGTATTTTGTAAATTGTGTAACTTATTTTATTAAAATCTTTTTGTCTTTAATACTTTTTTATGCATGCTTCTTATGAAACTTCAAGCTGTCTTTGGCTCTTTTCTGCTTTTTCTCACATGAATCAAATCAGAAGTGTGCAGTGTACGACAGCCCGTGTCTATGACATCGCCTGTGGCCTCTGATGCACAGCGCCAGGAAGAAGTTCAGTACTTGGTAATCTTCTTGGTATCTCACGACTCAATGACTGAGATCTCTTGAGCTGATCCATATTTCCAGCTACTGTAAATACTTAATCATCCTTTCGGACCTTCAGAGGGATTGCGTTGGTTGACCTTTAACCTCTGAGTCCTGAGTAAAGATGAAGCAGAGGAACTCGGTCAAAGGCAACCTTCACACTGAAGTTTCTGGAAAAGGGGCAGGGGAACGCTCTGATGGCAGCCACAAATACTGTCCCAGGTCTTCCCTCTAAGGCTCACCCACAACATGGAGACCACAGTAACAGACAAAGGCGGATCTGAGCACAGTGTGCAGGCTGCAGCTTCTAAGCTTCTACACGGTCCCGAGGAACCAAAGTCTTGACTCCTCCTTTGATTTTGGATTTGAACAATGACAGATCGGTGTAACACAGTATTGAGCTGTGTAAGCAAGAACTTGAAAAGGACTGGTCTAGTGGACTGCACGGCCTCTGGCTGTCAGAAAGGATCAAATAGAACTAGAACAGAACTGCTTGATTAAACCATGAAAGATTGAAGATAAATGTTTTCATGAAATGAAAATGTGTTTAGATTTTGCAGATATTGGTGCCATAATCTTTACAGAAGGCTATATGTTTTAGGATTCCTTAGAACAAGTACACTCATCTAGATACAAATGAAAGAATCAAGAGTTGTCTCTCAAGCCGTTTAATATCTCCCCGGATGTGAGGAAAGGGTTCCTGACGAGAACTCATGCTGCAGCAGAGTAAAACTTTTGGAGGTGACCTTCCTGCAGGCCTGGGAGCAGCTCTTCAATTCATCCTCTGTGCTCTATTGAAAGTATACTCATTCCAATTAGACGGCATCCAAATGATCTTATTTAGTTTGATTTATTATTAATACATTTATTGTATCAGATTTGAGCGTGAGAGTCATCTTCAGCCTGCTGTCTGTCTGTCCAGACTAAAAAATAAAAAACACGTATACATGCTGTATTTCATATTCCAAACCATGCTATTTGGCTCTATGACTCACGTCCCCATAAACTACAGTATGTACACAACTTCTCATGAGTACCACTCCAGAGAACACATCAAATGTTACCTTCACTGACCAGACCCATCAGATAATCCCCTTCTAAACTCCACCTACGGGCCAGAGAGCTCCCCCAGCTGCGGCCCATGTCCCGGGCTCAGTACCCACTGCGGAGGATCCGGTTCAATTCTCTTTTTTAGCGCTATATTAAATAATTATTAATCTCTGGGACTCCAGGCATAATGAATAATTACTTTTTAGAGTACTCAGGTATTCTAACAAACCAGCAGTGCAGAGTGGCTGCTTAGTGTCCTCCACTCACATGCATTGTATGCTCCACATCATGTGATGGGCTGCTTGGTTTGTATGCATCAGTTATATCAGATGTGCCTTCACAAATAAAATAAAAGACAAGAGTCTTTGTGAGCCACATGAAAGTAGCAGCACACATTCACCACGCAGTGTGTCCATTGGTCTCACTTAATCGATCTGGGTGACCGAGCCATGAAACGTTTCATCCGATGCACCACAAGTCAGGCCTGCTCTGAACAACATCATTTTCACTTCTTTACAAAAACATTTAGAAAAAACTAGAGTCCATAAGAACACATAAGAACACACCCGAAGCAAAAGCCATTTGAGGCGTAAAGAGGGAGGGCCAATGGCCCCCTTCCCCACTTGAATTTTACTTAACAGACTGTACGTGGTTTGTCTTGTTTGTCATGTTTTGCTTTTTGTCTTTTTGTTTATGTATGTTTGTAAGTTGTTGCTATTGTCGGGACCCCCTTGAAAACGAGATGGTGCATCTCCAGGGGTTTATCCCAATAAATAACATTTCTATATATACTTCCTTTCCCCCTACTTCTGACTCCCCTGCTCAGACCACAAACATCTTCCAACTCTACATTCATTTAAAGTGGGGGGAGGCCAATGGCCCGTTTGCGCCCCCTTTCTCCGACCACTCCCTAGCTTGATTTCTACCTTCATCTTGATCTCATCTGCAGATCTGTGAAGTTAGTTGTAGCATCTTTCATGGTTTCAATCTCAGAATGTGTCCACAGTATACTTGCCAACCTTGAGACCTCAGAAATCGGGAGCATTTCAAAACCACCGCGCGGGGGGGGGGGGGG